TTTACAGTTAGCTTTAAATGAATTTGAACAATACTGTAATACTTGGAAGTTAACTATCAATTCAGGAAAAACTAAAATTGTCATCTTTTCAAAAAGAAAATGTGCAAGAACTCCCCATTTTACATTATGTAACGTAGAATTAGAAATACTGGAAGGGTATACCTATCTAGGATTATTCTTTAATTTTAGTTGTAGCTTCTTTAAAGCAAGGAAAAAAATTGTTGAACAAGCACAGAAATCAGTGTTTGCTGTCTATAAGAAATTGAGAAACATATCTTTACCAGTTGATCTACAATTGAAGATATTTGATTCATTAATTATGCCAGTTCTTCTCTATTCATCAGAAATATGGGGTTTTGAAAACACAAATATTATAGAAAAAATCCATCTTCAATTTTGTAAATATATACTAAATGTAAGAAAAAGTACACCAAATTTCATTGTTTATGGTGAGCTTGGAAGATACCCACTAGACATCGAAATTAAATGTAGAATAATAGTATTCTGGCATAAGTTGATTACCTCTAGTAAGTTATCAAGTACTATTTATAAGCTTATGTATACATTACATGAAAATGGAACTATGTTATTTAAATGGCTCGCATATGTTAAAGATATTTTTTCTCAAACTGGCCTGAACTATGTGTGGTACTATCAATCTACATGTTCTTTTTCAAAAGACGAAATTAAGAGGCTTGTGAAAAGTAGACTGAAGGATCAATTTATACAGAAATGGTTTGATAATATTCTTAACTCCTCTAGAGGACAAACATATTCAATATTAAAGACAAAGTTTGAACAAGAAAAATATTTAATTAAACTTAATACAAATGATAGGAAAATAATGTGTAAATTCCGTTCTTGCAATATGCATTTACCCATAGAAAAAGGAAGATGGTTAGGTATTCCTCGTCAAGAAAGAACCTGTACATTATGTAATTTGTACATTGGAGATGAATTTCATTACTTATTTATATGTGAAAGTGTTTTAGTTAAATGTCTAAGAGAGAAATATATACCAAAATATTATTTCACTTATCCAAGTCAATTAAAAATGCAAGGATTGTTTAATATATTTAATGTAAAAATTTACACAAAACTTTGTAAATTCATAGAAAAGCTTGAAAAAATATTAACTTAATTTCTGTACTATTTGTGTACTTCTATATGTATCTATGCTATGTACAATGTTGTAATTGTGTACATCACACGCCATGTATCATACTTACTATATGTATGTGACCTCTTGTTACACACTTAAGTGTGTCGGAGTGAATAAATAAAACTTAAACTTAAACTTAAGGCTATATTAGTATAAAGTGGTAAGAACTACAGGTTATTAACATACCTTTTAATTTACAGGTAAGATATTTAGGTGTGTAAACTGTGTATTACTATCTCTCAGCTAAAAGTTACAGTGTACATTGAATGTAGTTGATGCAGGTACGGAATTATATTTCCGTGATTCAGGATTGAATCAGAGACGTATATATTACAGAGATTGGCAACTTGTTCTTTACCTTACCATTGGTCACGGTAACCGGATGTCAAATCGCGAGTTACGCTTCAGATGCGCCATATACATTTGATATACGGTTTGCTGCATTCAATAATCCTTTTCTGTTCAAAACATAATTGTGCCATGAGAAAACATTGAAATTCAACGTAATATTAAACCTGTAGCTAGCTGAGATGTCCATGCGGTTTGAGAGTGCTCCATTTAATGTAAACTTGAATGAACACCAAACATCGAAAGATTGCACATCGTGGCTGTGTTTATATATCGATAAGGATTCTGGCTTCAGGAGAACACAAACTCCGTTTTTGTTCTTTAGACATTTTCAAAAAAGTCTTCAGAAATTCATTATTTGATATTATTTCCGATTTTAATATTTAATATTTGATATTATTTGATTTCAAGCAAGATTGTACTTTTTCTGTCTAACAATCTACATTTTTGTCTTTTCAATACATCTTACATACATGTCATTTCAATTCAACAACACATCTTCATAACACTACTGATATCATGTTCTTCCAATGAAAATGGGTTGCGCAAGGGTCATTTAGAAATGCGTGCCAATTCCAGATAATTATATAAATATATATGGCACCATTTATTATCAGTAAGACATATGTACAGAGTCCTTCAAAAACAATTATTAGCTGCTGCATTATCAAGTATTAAATTATCAAAGCCTTTTCTGATGCTATAAAAAAATGCTTTATGAGACCAGGCATAACTACATACAAGAACATCTGATGTTTAGAAAAGTAGGTTATTGTATTGTCAAATTGCTCGGAACCTTGCGGTTTATAGACATATTATTTAACATTGTTATACACATTAATAACATACACGTATTACAAAACACTAGGTCGAAGTAAATTACAAACACGGCACAGTTTTATCGTTTAATTTGACATATTATCGAGTATAAAACAAACATGTATTTCAAAACACCAGGTCGAAGTAAATTACAAACACGGCACAGTTTTATAGTTTAATTTGACATATTTATTGATTATAAAACAAACAAGTATTTCAAAACACCAGGTCGAAGTAAATTACAAACACGGCACAGTTTTATAGTTTAATTTGACATATTTATCGATTATAAGACAAACATGTATTTCAAAACACCAGGTCGAAGTAAATTACAAACACGGCACAATTCAAGTATGTAATAAACAAGTATTTCAAAACACCAGGTCGAAGTAAATTACAAACACGGCACAGTTTTATAGTTTTATTTGACATATTAATAGAGTATGTACATAACAAACATGTATTTCAAAACACCAGGCCGATGCAAATTACTAACTTGGCACAATTCTATAGTTTTATTTTGAAATATAAATCTTGTAAGGAATAAAACAAAACACCAGGCCGATGTAAATTACCAACAGGGCACAATTCCACTGTTTTATTTTGACATATTAATGGAGTGCTTAAAACTGTCGAGTATGTACATAACAAACTTAACATGTATTTCAAAACACCAGGCCGAAGTAAATTACAAACACGGCACAGTTTTATAGTTTTAATTTGACATCTAAATCGAGTGTTTATAATACACACGTATTTCAGATCATCAGGCCGAATAAAAGTACGAACACGACACATTTATTTAGATATATTTTTATTACAAATCGAGTAATAAACAAACACATATTTCAACAGACAGCCAGTGTAAATTACAAACACGGCACTGTTACATAATTACTACGTAAGCACAGCGGGTAAAGCCGAACGGAAGGATTTCAGTGGCCATTTCGGTGTGAAACTGATGTCAAAGGTAAAGAAATGCCGCGATCACAGCTGACGCTCGCGGCCTACAGGAGGTGTGACACCCCCTGCTTCTATCTACACAGGTAAAATCTTTATGCTGACTTTATCCGACCGTGCTGACTTTTAAATAAAAATGCTGACTTTAATCCGACCGTGCTGACTTTAAAACGACAATGCTGAGTGTAACCTAACCATGGTAATTTAAAGTGAATTTCAGTAAAAAGGTCAGCATTGTTGGTTTATAGTCAGCATTGTACGAGTATAGTCAGAATGGTAGGGTTATACTACCGTGATACAAGGATAGTCAGAATTTTGTAGTCACTAGTGTGACGCGTTAATTCTACCTGGTCAAGGGGAGGTAACTGTTATCCCTTAGTGGAATATCGCGTACTGCTTATATTATTAGCTCTGCTCATGCCATTTGAATTGAAAACAATAATCATAATTCTTTTGTCCTGTTAAATTGGTGTGTATACTTTCCCATGTTAAACTTTAGTCATATATTGATGCAGACCTTTTCTAAAACAAGTGTAGGAAAACGATATACAACGGTCCTTCTAGTATCGTCTAGACACCAGTTACCGCGCGTTATGTATTTCCGCGCAGACATTTTATCAAGCTATATCTCGTAACTACGTGACCTGCTGGACACAACACAAGGATATTTTAGACGTTTGGCCATCGTCTGTAAACTGACAAAAAAAATACCGGAAGTTCGTCCGGAAAACAAGATTTAATCACCGATTAAAAAACACGCATAAATATGCAGTTTTGCTTAATGCTCTTTTTATCTTGCTCAAAATGAGCCCATACCTGAAAAAACGGTGATATATTTCATTCATGAACCAGTCTTTTTTGTAGTCTGACAAACGTACGAAAATGTCGTATGCAAATGAGGCCACATCTCCTCGCCGATTTTTTTCCACTTCCGAAGAGCCAAGGAGACATTCTTCTATCGATAAGCAGTGTTTTCAATGAAACGTGAAACTTGTAATGCAATGAACCTTCAATTTTCACCAATTTGAAACAGAACAAAATGAGAAATAACTTACCATCAACAAAAACCGATATAAGACTGCAGAAAAAAAAAAAACAGATTCTATATCATAACTAAATAAATATAATAAATATTTTTAAAAAAATACATGAATTCGTTCAATTTGACATCTTGAAAAATAAATTAAAAAGGTGAAATTTAAAAAAAGTTGTTTTGATATTTAATTTGACGATTAAAGATATATTTTTAATTCCAAACGAAGCTTTTGTTCTTGCAGGTCACTGTAGAGAATTTCTTTTTAGTGTATTCGAGTTATCTTTCTTTGAACACTAAATCAAAATAGACACACGGAAACATATGACGGCTACTTCCGACGGGAGAAAGTTAAAAATTGTTTGTTCTGATTTTTTTTTAAAATACAGTTTTATATTGCTAGTTTTTTGTTTCCATTAGTAGATTGTATACATGTTTATGACAGTGATCCGTAATTTCAACAGTTTTCTGCCGATATGAGTACGAAATCGCGGATGCTTCTTAACTGCGCGGAAACCGGTAACCCGAGGATACTTAAGTGATTCAGTTCCGATCCCAGAATCACGCTGTTGGATCACCTGGGATCATATCAAATTTCAAGATTACGTGCTTTTATACAAAAGTCTAGTTAAACCTCATCTTTGGTCAATTGGTGATATGAAAAACAGGTGAACTTATATGATTATCTACATGCATTTCCACTCCGTTTCGTTCCGTACTCCGTTTCCCGTTTTTACCAGCACAACCCGCTATAATGGCAGCTGTGACAAAGGTTGAGAAGTTTTCGAGGGCCTTGTTGAAGCTTACAGAGACCTGTAATTCCTTCATATTGCCAGGTACTTGATTTTTTTTAACATTTAGGTGAAAGTCTGAACAAAAATAGTATGTAACAGTCGAGTCTGATCTACTAACGTTGAATAGCTGCACATACAATGTACTTTCACTTTCTTTACGTAGGCCTGATCACAGGGGCACGCAATTGCTATTATTCTATTGATCTGGTTAGACTTTCAGTCGCTGGGTACGTTATATTGGGTACGTTATATACCCAGCGAATTAAAGTCTAACCAGATCAATAGTAATAGTAGTTGCGTGCCACTGTGGCCTTGTTTGTTTGTAAAACCTCCCAAACAAACAGGAACTGGACTCTTATTATACATACATCTACAGTAGGTTATAGAGGGCGAACGTATACGGATACATTGCCGCCAGCATGTATTAGCAGGCTAGGAACATCATACCCGGTATGTATAACCGTATTATATAATAACTATCGTGTGGTTATAACATTTAGTTATTAGAATTACTATATTTATAGCGGTCTCTATTCAGAGGTCCGGTACCTCGGTCGGCGTGGAAGTTGTATAGTATTTATTGTATGTATATGAGAGGGTAAATGTATTTATTGTATTGTCCTGTATTGAAGGCTTCTCGGAGATCATAAAGGAAAGATATACACTTAAAACAACTTGTCAGAGTAATTGTTAAACTGAGCAACCGGTGAAACAAAATATTTCTCATAAAAAAGCTCACTGTTGAGTCAAAGGTGACCTTTCTTAAAAAACGTGCATTTTTAGCTCACCTGGCCCGTAGGGTTAAGTGAGCTTATGGCATGGTGCGGCGTTCGGCGTCCGTCCGTCCGGCGTCCGTCCGGCATCAACTTTTTACTTTAAACAACTTCTTCTCAGTAACCAAAAGGCCTAGGGTGATGATATTTTGCCAGAAGCATGCTGGGATGAAGGGCTTCCAAGTTTGTTCAAATAAATGACCTTCATCTATTTTCAAGGTCACAGGGGTCAAAAACGTTAAAATCTTTAAACAACTTCTTCTGAATAACCGAAAGGCCTAGGGTGATGATATTTGGCCAGTCACTTGCTGAAATGAAGGGCTACCAAGTTTGTTCAAATGAATGACCTTGAATCATATTCAAGGTCACTGGGATCAAATATGTTAAAAACCTTTAAACAACTTCTTCTGAATAACCAAGAGGCCTAGGGTGATGATATTTGGCCAGTAACATGCTGGGATGAAGGGCTACTAAGTTTGTTCAACTAAATGACTTGAAACCATATTCAAGGTCACTGGGGTCAAATATGTTAAAAACATTTAAACAACTTCTTCTGAATAACCGAGTGGCCTAGGGTGATGATGTCTAGCCAGTAACTTGCTGGGTTGAAGGGCTACCAAGTTTGTTCAAATGAATGACCTTGAATCATATTCAAGGTCACTGGGGTCAAATATGTTAAAAACATTTAAACAACTTCTTCTGAATAACCGAGTGGCCTAGAGTGATGATATTTGGCCAGTAACTTGCTGGGATGAAGGGCTACCAAGTTTGTTCAAATAAATGACTAAGTTTGTTCAAATAAATGACCCTGACTTATATTCAAGGTCACAGGGGTTAAATATGTTTAAAACCTTTAAACAACTTCTTCTGAATAACCAAGACACCTAGGGTGATGATAGTCGTACAGTAACATGCTGAAATGAAGGGCTACCAAGTTTGTTCAAATAAATGATCTTGACTTATATTCAAAGGGGTTAATATGTTTAAAACTTTAAACAACTTCTTCTGAATAACCAAGATGCCTAGGGTGATGATAGTTAGCCAGTAACTTGCTGGGATGAAGGGCTACCAAGTTTGTTCAAATGAATGACCTTGAATCATATTCAAGGTCACTGGGGTCAAATATGTTAAAAATATTTAGACAACTTCTTCTGAAAAACTAAGAGGCCTAGAGTGATGATATTTGGCAAGTAACTTGCTGGGATGAAGGGCTACCAAGTTTGTTCAAATAAATGACTTTAAATCATATTCAAGGTCACTGGGGTCAAATATGTAAAAAACATTTAAACAACTTATTCTGAAAAACCGAGTGGCCTAGGGTGATGATATTTAGCCAGTAACTTGCTGGGATGAAGGGCTACCAAGTTTGTTCAAGTAAATGATCTTGACTTGTATTCAAAGGTGTTAATATGTTTAAAACTTTAAACCACTTCTTCTGAATAACCAAGAGGCCTAGGGCGATGATAGTTAGCCAGTTACATGCTGGGATGAAGGGCTTCCAAGTTTGTTCAAATAAGTGACCCTGACTTATATACAAGGTCACAGGGGTCGAATATGTTTAAAACCTTGAAACAACTTCTTCTGAATAACCAAGACACCTAGGGTGATGATAGTCAGACAGTAACATGCTGAAATGAAGGGCTACCAAGTTTGTTCAAATAAATGATCTTGACTTGTATTCAAAGGGGTTAATATGTTTAAAACTTTAAACAACTTCTTCTGAATAACCAAGAGGCCTAGGGTGATGATAGTTAGCCAGTAACATGCTGAAATGAAGGGCTGCCAAGTTTGTTCAAATGAATGACCTTGAATCATATTCAAGGTCACTGGTTTCAAATATTTTAAAAACCTTTAAACAACTTCTGAATAACCAAGATGCCTAGGGTGATGACATTTGGCCATTAACATCATGGGATGAAGGGCTACCAGGTTTGTTCAAATAATGACCTTCATCCATATTCAAGGTCACAGTGGTCAATATATGTTTAAATCTTTAAATGATTTGTTCTGTATAACCAAAAAGTCCAGGGTAATGATTTTTTGCTAGAAGCATGCTAGGTTGGAAGACTATAAACTCTGTTCAACCTAATGTCCTTGTTCGACATTCAAAGTCACAGGCGTTATATGTTTAAATCTTTTAATAGGTTCTTATTAATTAATCCAACACTGATATTCTGCCTGTAGTTATATTTTAGTCCACTTTTAAGATTACACGTGTGAGATTAATACCAGGTGAGCGATTCAGGCCCATTGGGCCTCTTGTTTTTATTTTATAATAAGTATTTATTTGATAAGGAAAACTGAATCAATAAGTATTTATTTGGAAATTATCTATATATTCAACTACAATTTCGGTTGATCTAGATGCTGCTTCCAGCCGTATACATCTTGAAGCCTCCTCATGAAATGCAGTCCAATATCTTTCTTTCATTTTAAATACTGTTTTTAGGTCGCCTGAGCTTTGCTCAAGTGACCTGTTCTAATCGCTTTCCGTCCGTCGTCATCTGTCGTGCGTAAACTTTTTACATTTTCAACTTTTTCTCAAGAACCAGTGGTCAGAATCATCCTTGGTAGATGAGACTATTAAATACTAAAATTGATATTCCTACCCCAACCCCTGGGGCCAGGGCGGGGCCCCAAAGGGAAAATTAACCAATTTTTTCAAACATCTTCTTCTCCAGACTCAGAGGTACTACAGTCATTTTCTCTCCATGGAAAGAAAGATCATCAGGGGCTTTACTTAAATTATAAATTTCAGGACTCCCGAGCTATTCGTTCTCCCTTGGGGAGGGGGTAAAGTTAACTATAGTTTATATAGGGAAATAACACTTTTGGGTATAATTTGACAACTTTCTGTAGGAAATTATTTTTACTTGGTGAGAATTATCCTTGGAGGAAGATGGTTTCAAATTGTAAAATTGAAATTCCTACCCCAACCCTAGGGGCCAGGGCGGGGCCCAAAAGGGAAAATTAATCAATATTTTAAAAATCTTCTTCTCCAGACTCAGAGGTACTACAGGCATTTTCTCTGCATGGAAAGAAAGATCATCAGGGGCTTTACTTAAACTGTAAGTTTTAGGACCCCCGAGCTATCCGTTCTCCCTTGCGGAGGGGGTAAAGTTTACTATAGTTTATATTGGGTATATTTTATCCATTTTCAGCAGAAAATTACTCAAACTTTGTCAGAATCATCTTTGGCAGGGCCCCAAAGGGAACATATACCAATATTTTCAAATTATTATCCTTTGATGACATGACAAGTATTGTTTCACTTAGTTTACATGCTGATTTCCACATCACATCTTAACAATAAAATAAAGCTACCAGTACCTATGATATAACTCAGGTGACCGCTAAGGCCCTTGGGGCCTCTTGTCTTATAAACAGTTTCGTTTAATTTCTTTTGTAATTTTTTTAATGAATAGACACCCTGGAGGAGAAATTCTCTATGATCTTTCTGCAACGGGTTACAACATAAAGGTTAGGCACCAGGGTAAAATGTTCATCTTGCAGAATGTATAAAACAAACCTCTATGTAGAGATGCAGAGTACTGTAATGTTAGTAGCTGCTTGTCTTAAGTTAGGTAGAAGCCATTGCCCGACTAAGACATCGTTGAGCCAATGACTAAGTTGACTCATTTAATACGTCCACAGGCTAAAAAATCTTCTCTAAAAAGGAAAACATCATCTTCAGGCTGAAGTAAAGTAAAGGATACAAAAATGGTTTCTCTGGAGTCTTGAAGAATGGGAACAATACTGTCGAAGAACATCACTTTGTTTCCACAGTGACAGATGACACAGCATTATTTGGACCTACAGACAACCTTGTTGTTAACTGTGTAGTTATAAACATGATTTGTCTCTACCTACAGAGGATATCCTCACATAGCTACCATCGCATAGCTATCATCGCATCGCATCGCTACCATCACATAGCTATCATCGCATAGCTACCATCGCATAGCTATCATCGCATCGCATAGCTATCATCGCATCGCATCGCATAGCTACCATCGCATAGCTATCATCGCATAGCTATGATTGCATAGTTATCATCGCTTAGCTATCATCGCATCGCATCGCATAGCTACCATCGCATCGCTACCATCGCATAGCTATCATCGCATCGCATAGCTACCATCGCATAGCTACCATCGCATAGCTATCATCGCATTGCATCGCATCGCTACCATTGCATAGCTACCATCGCATAGCCATCGCATCGCTACCATTGCATAGCTACCATCGCACATCATTGGCAAACTCAGG